GTTGATAATACGTTTAGCCATCTTCTCCCTTAACTTCGTAATTACTACTGTGATAAAATCGGTGATTTCCTTTTCCTTGTTACTAAACTTTCGCAACAATTTCTTATCGTAATTTCTAATTTTAATTAAATACGACTCATTTAAATTTATTGCTATTTAATTGATGAATAAGTTTCCGTCGCATTAAATAATAAACATTTCAATATTTACCTAAAAGCAAAACAATATAATTTATAGTGCTATCAGCTCTTGACATGTATGGCTCAAATCATCTCAAATTTATATTAAGTGTGCTCAGGTATTGCTTTTGTGGCCGCATAATTTGCTGAAATATATAATAACAATTCACATCAGTTAAGAAACTAATTTCCGATCACGGATGGGAAATTAGTCATCATGGATGTCCTCGAATCATCATATAATTAACTCCGGACAATTTTAAGTAGTCCTCCGACGTTCGGTTACGTACTTCTGAATTTTTTTCGTTGTTTTAGAAAATTTGAAATTAATTAAAAATTATTAATCTTCAAGCAACAATTATAAACCGACAATTTTCCTCTTTTAAGAAAAGGCTTACTAAGTTCCTTTATCGAGTCGCAAACTAATTTAGATTCGTGACGTTACTTAATGTAAATACTGGATGTATTCCACTCTCTTATGTTATAACTTTTTCGTTATTTACTTCGTTCACATGTCACTCTTTGTCTCGGAGAAATATATCGTCGGTTTTAGAAAAAGTTCGGTAATACATATTAGGTCGGTTCTGTAATGTCCCCGACTGATGTGACAGTTTCAAACGCTGAAAGAATTTTTCATTTAAAACAAAAGTGTACTACGAAGGCAATTTTTGAATACTAAGTGTGCTCTGGCTTCTGCACTAAAACCGTCATTTATTAAAGTGTTCATAGAACGATAGCAAGATTATTTAGATCATCGCTTACAGTTCGACATGTAAACAATCATTTAAGAGATACATTTTAAAAAGTAAAAGTGACATCATTGTCGCTTAGATATTGTTTGATATTGAAATTAATTTATTAGTTGTCATGACGATAAGTGAAAATTTGGCGTTGAATTTCCAGCCCTAATTATATTTTAATTATAACTGTACAAACGAAAATATCTTTCTACCATAATTCATAATATGGAAACAATAAAAACATTCGTGACTTGCATTTGCGTAGTTTACACTATAAAATTTTCTATAAAGCACATGGAGTGTTTAAGTTGCATACGGTATTTTAATACTCGAGAATACATAAAGTGACTAGCGTTATTAGGACAATGGATAATGACAAAATGGCAGTCATGGTCTTAATTGATTGTTCTAACGACGTTAATACCGTCAGTCACGACACTCTTTTAGTTATAATAACCTATAGTTTCTGATGAAACGCTGGAATGGTTTTCATTCCATCTTCGAAGGCGCCAACAGTCGATTAACATCGTTAAATTGTAATCAAATTGGTTTAATGTCATTTTTGGTTTTGGTGTAATGTACGATTGTGAAATTCCGCCAAGATCAATCCAAATAATTCATTTTTTATGTGAAATGATGCCAAGCGAGCAGACGTGTCACCTGATGTTAAGTGAATACCGCCGCCCATGGACATCTACTACACCCGAGAGTTCCAGATGCGTTGACAACCTTTTGAAATTTGGACACTCTCCGTGATAAATGCGCTAGAAGATGCAGGGTGAACCAACATTTCTACGCAGAGCCAAAGGATCAAGCCTATCGGAAAGAGAGATCAAGCCTATTGGTGTGCTCAGCAAGACGAGACAGTATTTCGCGTCGGCTCAACGCCTAAACCTCGTAGGGGAAAATTCAAATATTTCAAGACATCCTACATTACATCAAAGGCCTACCATACATAGGACAACCTACAATACACAGGGCTTTAAATAAAATGAACTATGTAATTTGTAGTATAGTTTAACAATCAGGTACAATACAAACGAGATACCTATGTATTTTACACATTGTGACACATTTAAAATGCTGTACATAAAATAAACAAAAGGAAAAATTAAAACGTTTTTAACACATGTCCCTGTTTATCTCATTTATAATATAAGAAAATAAAGGAATATTAAAACATTAATAATGCGTAATTAATATTTTACTAATTAAAGTGATATTTCATTAATAAAAAGGGAGAAGCACTGCCTCTAGGGATTTAAGAGCCAAAGGAAAGTTTTAATTAACTCAAAGAGCTGGTTTTGAAACCTGATATTTGTAATCAATTTCTTTTATGTTTGTTAAGTAATTGTATTCTACTATTGAACTGACCTTTCAGCTAAACAACCTTAATTTGACTTCTTTAACAATTTAATAATCATTTATATGAAAATAATTTTTGATCAAATTTTGAAAAACTGTAGTGCAATTTCGAGTTTTTACATTATTTTCGAAAAACGCTAATGTTAACTAAAAAAACTAATTAACTAAAAAATAAACTAAGTTCACAATGTCATTGAGGAGAAAAGTTTATATGCTTGTCGGATCACCGATTTTTTAACATCACTTACAATAAATATTGCAGGGCACATTTTTACACAACGTTTTCTGCTCTCAAACTATGCAACGCTTGAACTATGGGTACTGGATATCTTGTAACATACATAAACATACTTATATTTTGTAAATAAATACGTAATATAAATAAATAAACATCCAGAAACTGGAAACACAATATTTTTCCAGTAGTGGGAGTAGAACCCACACCGGGTTCGATTCTCCTACTGGCCGAAGAGACAGGCCATTAGGCCAATCGAGTCGTCAAAATTTATTGATTTTTTAACTTAGACGATATGACAGAGCCGATGTGCCGAATCTGATTAAAATTAAAAAGTTCGATGTAACGTCTTGGGAACTGAGTAAGAAAGAATTTAGAAGGAGGAATAGCACAGGCTTTCTGCCTGTGGCTATGCTATCAGTGTTATAGACGCGAGAGTTATTTATTATTATTATACATATATATGACGCGAGAGTTATTTATCATTATTATATATGTATAATAATAATAAATAACTCTCGCGAGTATATATCATTATGAAATATCTTGATAGGTTTGCACAAATATATTGAACGTTACAGATGCAAAATGTAAGTTAAATGTTAGAACATTCATATGCGAGTATAATCTATAAATATTTTCATTTCATCCGTCAGGCACATTAGGCTTTTATTCTCGTTGAAATTTAATTTCTTGTATTTAAAATTTTTAACTCTGCTCTCTAGAAGTAGACGTTTGTGAAAAGACTTTATTCTAAACGGAATACAAAACAGCTCTCGAATAAAGGAGAACGTTATATTCATGCATTTTTCCCTTTAAGCTCGTCATTATGGAAAGGTGTTGTTAAAATTATTTAAGGACCCAAAAAAGTTGTAAGTATAAGCCAGGGGAAGGACTATAGATTCATAGAAGATTGAAGTAAAATAAAAGTTTTAATTTTAGTTTAGTTTGTAATTTAAATTAATTAATAACCGGCCTACATCTGGCTTTGAGAGTGCCATTGGGCGGCTACGCCCTTTTGGTGGCAACTATGCATCTGACTATGGTTAAAACATCCCTCGCGTTCTAGAATTATGTCGAATTATGTTGGAACGTATAGTTAGTTTAAAGACATATAGTTTTAAAGGTAAAATTAAACATGTATTCGCTCTCTTGATGCCGAAGCGGTGCGAAAGTTCGCTATTAAGAAGAATACAACGTGCCAACGCAACAGTCTTCGCTGTTGCACGAAGAGTCCGTCCGGGTAAGTAGATACCACGCCCTCACAGAAGTCCGGCGCGTTGTGGAAGTGTTATACTTTTGTTTCTTCTAGTGAGTGAGTTACCCGGGACCTACTTTACTATAAGTGTCAACCCATCTGTAACCCTACGGGTGTAGCAAATGTCAATGGGCGGTGGTTATCACTTACCATCAGGTGATACCGCCAGCAGCTCGTTTGCTACCTTCCACATAGAAAAGTTCCTCCACGAATCGCCGCGATTAGGAGCAGTCAGGGGGCGGTTGTTGTTTGTTGGTACAGGGAATTTAGGAGTTCCTAGAAGTTTGCGAGGAGCACAGCCGTTCTTGCCTGCTATTGTCAAAATAAACATATGGTACATTAATAAGGCGTAAATTTACGTTGAAAGATAGAGGATAATGTTGTAATTATCATTTAAGGAAAGGTAGTTAAATTTTATCAGATGAGCTGAGATCCTTTGTTAATGTATAATATTAATATACTATATAATAGACTTTCTTGTTAGTGTAATTTAATATACCATGCATAGTTAACCATTTCATTAACATATACAGGTCGTTCACAAAGCTTCATCATGTCAACGTCTTTTTATTATGCACGAAGAAACGGAATGAACACTACGGACGGTCGACGAATGTGACTAAAATGGGTCAGAATTATTAGGGGATTACTGTGATATGAAAAATCTTCCTATTTCGTGAATGAATCTTCATGAAACAAATAAATAAACTAAATGAATTTTTTATGAAACTGTTATATCTTAAACTTCTCATAAAGGTTAGAAATTTTATTATTAATCAGTATGTTTATCTTTTTTACGTTTTTGATTAACACGTTACGTAACATTTTAATAGTTTATTTATTTAATATTTACCTAACCTATTATTCGATAATAACCTTAAACGTTTACATTGAATATTTATATATATTATAGTATATGCATTTTGGAAATATTCAATGTTAAGGTTTAAGGTTATTATCGAATTAGACCTTAAGTAATACCTAATTCTCTACCCAATTGACACAAATAAACCTTTTTCAAAGTAGTCTCAATTCAGTTATCTTGAAAATAAAAAAAAATAAAAATTGATGGTTAAATATAAGTAACTATTTATTTGGCGTCGTGAATATACGATAATTACTACGAAATAACTAAACAAACTCCCAGCCATTCCATCGCAGACATTAATATGTTTGAAATAATTTATAATTTCATTTTATTATTTTTAAGTTGATTATTATTAAAAGGGATACTCCCCCGTCGTTGTGAGATAATAAACTCCGCTCCTGAAAAGGAAAAAAAGTATCAGTATATTTTTTTAAAATTTTTACTCATATGTTATATTTACAAGTTAGATTAATATTCAACAAGTTATATCAACTCAAAAGGCTACTGCACTGTTTTTTAAATCTCTTTGAATTAATAAAAGATAAAGAATTGTCAAAAGATATAAATGCTACATACCCCCTTTTGTTCAAATCACCATTTCCCATTTTCAGTGCCATTCCACGGCACGAATTTGCTGTATACTGTAAGGTTGAGGAACATTTGTGACCTTCAAGCTCGTTGTAATCAACACTCGATTCAAATAGTTCCCAAGAACGCTTGTGGCTGCACACGTCTGTTGCACAACCTGGTTGCGCAGTTCCACCGTTTGGATAAAAGTCAGCGGCTGCATCTGCTGATACGATACCGAAAGTGCCGCTATTTGTATGAATCGCCTCAACATATACCGCGTCAGTCTTACGTAAGCGTTGATTGTTCTGAGTCCACAGTGGGCCAGCGGGATCTAAACCTAAAGTGTAAATAAAGATTAAAGTTATAATTTCATTACTACTACAAAAAACAAGTGTTGCTTCTTTTTAGATCGAGCAGTGTCTACAATAAAAGCAAGTAAAGTAACAGCCAATACGAGCCCCACTTCGTTAGTCCTCCACGTGACCCCAATGCGGATTGGCAGAAATCACGTATATTCTATTTCTTTTTAATTATTATTTCGAAAGTATGCAGGTTCCAATCGCAATGTTTTGCTTCACCACTGAGCACGTGATAATTCAGGACTTAAATTTTCAGGGTATTTTTTTACGGGATTACCACTTAGGTTGCGAGCGCCCGGATACTGAGCTAGTATATGTATTTAAAAATACACAAATTTTAAATAAGTAATGTAGTTTAGACTATTATGTAACTAATTAAGTATTAGAGTATCTCATTAGATATTCTAACACTGGGCATTCTGAAAGGCTGGTAAGTTTTTAGCTGGTAAGTTGTAAGGCTGGTCAATCCGTTCAAAATTATTTATTATCGGTTTAATAAGTAGACTCTCAGGGTTTCTGTACTCTTAATAACTCTTAGGCATGTAACCGATTTTAAGAAATCACTTAACCTTATGCAAATTATATAGCATATTTGTTGAGTTCCTTTATACAGCATGGGGTTACATCCGCGACAATAAAAGAACACCAATATTCATAAAAAATATAAATTTTAAAAATCCGTAATTAAAAAAATAAATAAACCAAACTAAATAAATAAAAAAATAAACGAACTTTGTAACATACTGTACATCTACAACTGACTGATTTATACGTCGTAAATATTGATTTTATTCAATCAATCAAATATCTTTATTCAAATAGACGCTTGCGCATTTTTTTTTCGAACTAGCCTGCACTTGACTGCCATCCCATCTGATGGTAAGTGGCGATGCAGCCTTTGATGGTAAGCGCGAAAACCTATTCACTCTTGTCTTGAAAACACCTAGGTTGTAAGCGGACGGAAAGACGGACGCCGGCAGGTTATTTCATTACTTAGCTGTGCGGATGATAAATGACGAAGCAATTCGCTTGTTCTGGGAACGTCGACAGCATAAGGGCGGAGCCTCACTGAACGCCTAATTGTCTGATGATGGAATGGGGTAGGAGGAATCAAATCATGCAACTCCAACGCACACTCTTCAAAATGCATCCTGTAGAAGACCGAGAGGCTGGCTACTCAGCTCAAGGCTAGTAAGGTTGGTTTTAACCAAGTTACGGTCACCAATAAGCCTTTTCGCACGTCTCTCCATTGGCAGCCAGATGGCATTTTGCAGCCACAGCCCAGATATGGCAACAGTACTCCACACACGATCGGACTTGAGCTTTGTATAGCATAAGAAGCTGTCCTGGTATGATATTGACATCACCCAATTTAGAGACCGCCTGCAATATAAGATTTAAACGCTCTACCATGGCCTCTCTTTCGGACTGGATGTGATCGCTACTGACCCGAAGACCACGTTGATATCTCTTCACAACTGTGCTGTCGTCCGCGTACCCTTAGATACCGGGCAGGAGCAGATTGTTGATAATCAGTAGGAAAAGAGTTGCGGAAAGGGCGGACCCCTGAGGAATTCCGGCATTAGTCGTCAGTGGCTCGGATGAACTGTCTTCGACGACTAATCGGAGAAACCGCTCACTCAGAAAGTCCTTCACCCAACCGATTAGGCCAGGAGATATGCCATACGCTGGAAGCTTGCTGAGGAGGCTGGCGTGCCAGACCCTGTCAAAGGACTTCGAGATATCTAGGGAAACCGCAAGTGCTTCACGATTGTTATTAAGGGCCTCGCCCCAAAGGTGAGTGGCGTACACTAAAAGATCCCCAGTTGACCGATTTCGGCGAAATCCGTACTAGCGGTCACTGAGAAGGTCGTTCTGTTCTAGGTTCGCCATGAGACGGGCGGTCAATATACGCTCCATAGTCTTACAGAGTAAAGAGGTAATTGAAATTGGTCTGTAATTGGCAGGATCGGCACGACTACCCTTTTTAGGAATGGGCTGTATGTATATTTGCCAACTTCCAGGACTTAGGGACTACTCCAGTCTCAAATGAGAGGCGGAACAGATGTGTCAGAACAGGAGACAACTCGCGTTCTTATGAATCGTCAAATTTTACATAAAAAGTTATGTATAATATAAGTTCGTTAGGTTCGGAAAGCAGTTACTGTTGAGAAGAGACCGGCAAGAAACTCAACAGTTGCTCTTTTCCAAAAATATCAGTTTACAATATAACATACAAGTATAACAGCCTTATTCTAGCCTACGTGAGTATCAACAGTATTAACTCCACACATTGGCGTTGTTGAAATGTTCCGCAATGGTATAATATGCTTTAACCATAAGTTGACTTTTAATTTTACGTTTAAACTGATCAAGCGGCAGACTTAATATCGACTGTGGGATTTTATTATACATGCCTTGCCTTTTCATAGCGGAATTAATATCGTTTATTGATACTTTTTGAATTCTATTACTAAGGTAAGAGGCAATGAGATTGATGATTATTATTCATAACAATAATATATTTATTTATAACATATTTATGTTTGACAAGTGCGACACCCGCATCTGTTGTCGATCTGTCTTTTTTGAATCCAAATTGCTCATCATGAAAAATTTGGTTTACTTTAGAATGTACCAATAGTTGGTTTAAAATTAATTTTTCAAAAATTTTACTTAGTGCTGACAATATGGAAATAAGTCTATTAATAATAGTAATTGCCTGGATAATTTTTGTCCCCAATTATGAAGACGAGTATTACTTTAATAAACTTCATAAGATCTGAAATATTCCAGTGTCTCTACAGTTGTTGAAATGAGCCAAATGTGGCGGTGGTATTGAAAGTAAATGCTTAATACAATTTTGAAAAGTTATTCTATATACGTTTGTTGATTTATGGTATATATACAGTAGAGAAGGGTCGCATTAAATCCGCTCATTGTAGCCATCATCTTAAGGTGTAGCAATAAAGCTTAAATAAATAAATAAGTATACAAATACCTGTAATCCGGGCGACTCGCCCGCCAAGATTTCTACCGGCATTGCCTACCACGTGAGCGCCTAGACTATGGCCAATTAAATGCATAGACTTCAATGAAACGCCAGTGGCCGAGCTCAGAAAAGTCAGGAACTGCCCCAAGCGCTGACCCACCCGCGGTACAGCAGCTACAGCGGTCACATAGTCCTTAGACGCAACACGACTCCAGTCCAAAATAATCACATTGTAATCCGAAATTGAGAGGAAGGCTGTAAAATTTATCAAAAAATTCTATCTGTTATATAATTATATCTAAATAAGACATATTTTATTTATTATATTTATTTCCTTCACTGCTGGTCGTATGTGGAAGCTCAAAGTCAGCCAGCGAACTATGGAGCGGGCTATGCTCGGTATTTCTCTGCGTGATAGAGTTTGCAACGAAGACATTAAGACAAGATGCAGTAGAACAAAAGTAACCGACATAGCTCAGAAGGTTAGCAAGCGGAAGTGGCAATGAGCCGTACACATAGCTCATAGAACCGATAACCACCCGGGAAGAATGGTTCTCGAGTGGCAGCCTCGAACTGGCCATTGTAGTGTGGGACTACCCCTCACTAGATAGAGTGACGACCTGTGCAAATGTGGAGGAAGTTGATGGATGCGACCTTTTCACATAAAAATATGTACCTATAGAGATATCAAAAATTCGCCCAAAGAGCTTACCGAATCAGTATCAGGTTTATATTAGAAATATCAAGCACAAGTTGCACATAAATATAATATTAATGTTCTTAAATGAAAAATGAATATCATAAACAACAGAAATTTTGGAACTGAAAGTTGAAATCAACTTGGAAAGTAAATTCTTCATGAAAGAAAATCTATACATTAAATAAATTTATACATTACCACTGCGTAAGGCATCGTTAACACCCGAACGAAGATTTCCAGTCCAACCGTGAACAACTACAACTGTAGGATTACTTTCGTTGAAATTTGAGCTTTCGATTGAATTTACATCATTCATTATCAGTCTCTCGGGGACTAAATCACTTTGTCTGCAAACAGTTCGTAGTTTCATCAAAGTAGAAAAAATATACCTATATACCATATAAATTTCATAAGAAATAACCTGTAGCATGATATTAAATTGTTGAAAATATGTTTTCATTTTAGATTAAACGCATTATTGCTATTGAGTGTAAAATCTCTTCGTTGCTGATTCATGTAGCGGTGATCTGGTCCGAAGTTCCACACTCTCATTGGAGGCCGACGTGAAGTGGCAGTATTTGTAACTTTGCATTTAGCCTGGTGACTGAGGTAGCCGGGTTGCACTACATTTTTAGTCTTTCTCGTTTTATTTGACAATTTATAATACATATAACATAACAACAATAAACTATATACGTTTTCCATAGAACATTCTTGTGAAAGAGATATCACTTACCGAGTGTACAAGAAGTATTTATTACTATAAAAATTGACAATGGTTGACAAAGTGTTAGAAGGAATTGCGCGGACTTCAATAAAGTGAACTTCACCATTATCATCCGGAAATTGTATAAATTGTGTGTCGCGAACTTTTGTTTCATTAACAGAACTTGACATTTCCTTCTCCGAAAACACTAAAAATAAAAAGTGTGATTTTTAATAGTATGATATGTAAGAGCAAAATATTATTCCGTAAATATATTAACTGTAAGTAAGTAATAAAACGGAAGGAATCAACGAATCGAGTCTTCAAATATTAGGGGTATCTGTTAATTGCTATAAGAAGATTACAAACATTAGTTGTGTCGTTGAGGAATTGATAACACAAGAATCCGAATATTTGGTTCAAGATATAAATAGTGCAATATTATCGATTGAAGCGAGTCCGACATAATCCGTCTTTGCCTCGGGTGTGCTGATTTAGCAGGTTGCAATTATTATTTTAAATTCACATTCTTGATGTAGTCAAAATGAAAGTATTTTCTATTGCCAAGACTTAAAATTAATCTATTTTAAAAAAATTCACCTTTTTAAATGATAATTTAATATTTTTTAAAGTTTTTTATAGTGCTAATCTCTGCACATAAGATTGAACATTAAAACATGTAGAAAAAGTACGAAAACACAAAAAGTAAAAAACGGCTGCTTAGCTCAGTTGGTAGAGCGTCAGGCCGCGAATGCCGAAGACGTGGGTTCGATTCCCACAGCGGCGACAATCTTTTCGTACTTTTTCTACATGTTTTAATTTAATATTTGTTAACTGAAATTATTATAGTCTTATATCGTGTCTCTATAAATATGACACGATTAGGATACTGTTGTAATTACCCTTTAAGGTAAGGTAGTTAAATTTTCCCAGATGAGCCAAGGTCCTCTGTTAATGTATAAAGTTTCTCGTTAGTGTAATATAATGTAGCTTACATTGTTAACCATTTCATTAACACTTGAATGTCGTTTTGAATATTACAAAGCTTCATGATTTTAAAATTTCTAACTTATTACATTGGTTATTTGTTATCCAATGTCTTATTTACATGAAGAATCATTGTAATACGAAAACTAAATAAGCGTGTACTTATTACGCAAGTAAAAAGTTATACTGTTTTAGCAGAGACCAAAAAAATACTAAAAATATTATCCCAGGTGCAAAAGACATTAAATGCAATTGATAACAGTTTAATTAAATAACTTGGAATTATAGATGAATGTCAAAAATCAATCAAAACAGTTTCATCTTGACTGCAGAGACTAGAAGTAAAAATAAAAATGAATAAAAAAAAAAGAGCAATGGCGACATCACTGGTTACAAATATTCGTCTTTGAATATTATTTGTAAGGTGCAATACGCTGTAAAGGATGTATACCAGCAGGCGCCAAGCATTTCTAAAAATGCATTAGAACGAACGTAGATAGATGTGAAGATTTTCGCGCCGTGAGGTCCTCGGTGAAAACAAAAAACTGGTGAATTGGTGAAACCAGAAGACGCAGGTTCAAATCCCTCAGTGCAAAAAGTTTTTGTTCGTTCGTCTACAAAAAATTGCAACTTAAAATTTCATCTTAAATGCACTGACTGGCAATGTAAATAAAAATTAACCATAAAATAATAATAATAAGGGTTCCGTAACTCAAAAGGTAAAAGAAGTTTTTGCGAAAATCTAAATTTGCCCAATATAAGACCAGAAAAGACTATAGACCTCAGTATCTGGTACAAATTTCAATTTGCTAGGTCCACCCGTTTCTGAGAAAATCGGTGGTGATTATTTTCCAATTTTATTATGGCGGTATAATCGGTAGATACTGAATACTCGGCGAACGAGTTCTACTCACACTTGACCGTTTTTTTGTTCACATTAAACAACAAAGAAGTATTTCTTGAGTCTCAATGTGTTTTTATAGTTTAAATAGCTTAATCTGCATATGTAACATATCATGATGTTTCAGTTGCAAAGTTAATGTATTTATTTATTTGATAAAAAAGTTTGGGTGTGCAAGTATAAGAATTTAAAATGTACCATGACGTTAAATGAATTTCCCAGGCCAAACTACCTTAATTGCCAGCAGTGTAAACTCATTTTGCTTATCGGACAGGTATAACATTAATCTAAATTTTATATAAAATTTTGGTATGTTAGGTAAACATTTTATGTAACAACAAAAGCATTGGTATTATTTATTCTAAAAGACAGTATAAATATAAATAAAACAGTATATTTGACTGTGGTAGGGCCACGCAACAGTGTTCTCTGTTGCACGAATGGGCAGGTCCGTCCGGGTTAGTACCACGATCTCACAGAAGACCGGCGTGAAGTAGAAGTGTTAGACTCTTGCGTTTCGTCTGGTAAGTGAGGTAGCCGTTGCCTACATTATTAATAGGTGGCAACCCATCTGCGGGGCGGCGATTATCACTTAATACCAGGTGTACAGCAAGCTCGTTGGCCATATTCTCGTATAAAAAAAACGGTGAAATAATTAATTAAAATCCAAGTCAGCACCCTTTCTCCTCCTCATATGGTGAAAGTGGTTTGTATTAAATATAAATGATTATAATACCCTTATTGACCGTGGCACAAGAAGGAGTGAACCCCAATTTTCCAAATGACCCCTTTAACTTTTGGTTTGAAACTATCCGCCATTGATTTAACCATTGATCATTCATCGACCGTTGGCCAGGTTTGTTGATATTTCTTGTAGTAAAGTCGATTACGTAGTGGTTGTATTGTAAAGTATAATAATCCAATATTTATTAAAAATACTATTTTTCCATTCTCTTTTTATTTGCCGTTCTCTTTTTACTTCTTTTCATTGTATCTTTAATTTTTTTTTTTCTAATAATAGTTCGCTTTATTAATGCAAGGAAATTTTTCTCTGAATGTCAGACTTACGCTTTTAATAACGCGAAATGCGAATGGAAAACCAACAAAAGAATTTGAACTCATATTTGCTACATTTTATCTTTACCTCATCCCAAAATTTATTGATTATAAAGAAAGAAAAACCTTTTTTGGACAATAATAATTGCAAAGGAATGCCCTTGATCTTACGCAGCATCTTGAGTTGAAAAGATTAACTTACCAAATGTTGTCAAAAGTAAAGTAATTATTATAATATAATTCAATATAAGTACATAAAATCAATATAGAAAACATGTATTTGACACTACCATGTATTTGACACACACACGCATATTATAACTCTATTGTTTATTATGTATTATTTAATTAATTATTTAATTTTATGTTTAATTTAATATGTAATTCAACTGATAGTTATAGTTAATAGATTAGTATTGTTCATTCAAACTTATAATTTAAATTAATAATGACCGAATTTTGACCACTCGGCGTCCACTACTTTTATAAAAATCTAGGTTTGAAACCTATTCGATTGATTGATTACCAAATGTTGGTATAAAACACCTACCTACGGATATGCACGTAAGACAAAATATTCCGCATATTTTACTTCACTAGCACACGTAGCTACATTTGTAAACATTACTCACCTATGGTGCACGAATGTAAGCAGAGCAAATAAGTGATAAAATGTTTCATGACGGATGCTTGCATTTGTCCAGATTCGCAGGTGGACTTGGACGCGATTTATCACGACCGTGCGTGACACTGCTCTACCTGGTACAAATTGTACAGTTTTCCGCCATTAATATATATCAAACGTAAGCATTGTTTCTCAGGCACGACTACAGTCCATCTTAGAATGTCCAAAGAATATCTATTTAAGTACTGACACTATACATTAAAAAAGGACGTTAAGATTTTTGCTTTTTTCTTTTTTTTGACACTATTTATTCAAGACTAGTTGCTGCTCGCGTGTCTGCGTAGAATAGGTTGAAGGCGTAACATTCAGACCGAAAAACAGATATACATAAAGATATGTATATAAATTATAACCTATGTCTTATTGTGATTTTTAAGCTATATTAGTGTAAAGTTTCATTTAGTAACAAACATCCATCCATACAAACAAACTTTCGCGTTTATAATATTAGTACCTAAGGACTACCTTGTTGCCTCATTTTAAACTATCTCTGTTCATGAATCACCAGATCCGTTTTAATTATACACCAATACGAGGTAGATATGACACTAGTGCACCGAAACTGAGGCGCTTAAATTACACCAACTGGTGTAATTAAATTGCAATTTTATAGACTGCTATCTCTTTCCGTATAATGCGTTCTATATCATACGTCACATTCACTTATATACTCGAATGTCAAACAATGTAAAGCGGAACAATTGTTATCTATTAGTATCTATACAATTGTTATCTTATTTTATCCTTATTAACTATGTGTTATCCCGTTACATAAAAATATGCCCTGAAGAACTTTTTTCAAATAATATATCATGAATCTTATTCCTTCACTCTTGCGTCGTGCTTGGACAATTTGTATTAAACTGAATCGTCTTTGGCCAATCGTTATAAGTGCATTTGCACCTTGTAGTTTTCATTGTTTACTTATAATTTTAATGACAATGTTTTATATAAATAGTTCACGTGGAAAAGGAAATGTTTATGGGTAACAAAGGAATACAAACCGGCTTACATGTTTTTACCCATTGATATATCTGTAAATGTATTTTAATTATTGTAAATATGTTTGTTTCAGAACGTGTAAAAGTTAAACTTTAACAGAGTTATTTCAAATACAATCACGTAAATCATGAGCATGGATAGATTGGAAGATAAATTATAACCCTAAAATGCAATCAGCGATGGAACATCTATTGTTGTGTTTTACAGCTAATGTCTAGTTAGTCAAATATTCATTGTAAAAATTTTATTTGTAGTTTCGATATGCTATAAAGTTTGCACAATAGATGGCGCCAAGCATCACTAACATGCAATTAAGACGGTAGATAGATGTTGAGATTTTCGCGAAGGGAGGATATTGACCGTTTAGCTCAGTCAGTAGAGCTTTTGGGCGCGTTAACTGGAAGAGACAGGTTTAAATCCCGCATAAAAATAATTTCCTACGCTTTCATTTTATTTATGAGAAATTTCTCATAAATAAAATTCCGACTGAATTTATTTATGAGAAATTCACATTTTATATGGAATATAGCCGAGAAATGACAAATAATTAACAATACAATGTATGGCGATGCACACAAACACTGAAACTTGTTGAATATGTATTTCTTTGGCCCACAAGTTAAACTATGTGTACATGAGTTTTTTAATTAGGGGCCATGCAATTTTCGGTGTGGCAATAATTGGCATCCTCATCCTTTGATACTTCAAATTAATGATACTTCATTGCCTCAAAGAAGACCACCGTGATTGATACTGTTGTTTATCGTCTGATAAGTAAGTAACCGCGGCCACATCTGTTAAGCGATATTACTTTATTTGACCACTGCTATAAAAATTGCGAAAGTACCAGAATACTTCAGGTGGTACATATTTAATATAAAATGTGTTGAACTATATATTTCTTTCTTTAAATATACAATAGATCTAATTGCATAATGTCTAAATGTGGGGTCTTTGCGCTATAAGGCTTTTTAAGGAAATAGCAAAAAGGTAAGTATTTTTTTTCTTTTTTAAGGTTTTTAGTTTTTAGTTTCATTGTTCTAGTATATATTTTGTATTAGTTTAACATTTGAATGTTATTTAAGTTTGCTTATAGCCTTTTACTAGGTATAATTTTTAAGACTTTTTTCGTTAATTGTCATTTTGAATTATGTTGGATGTTTCAAGGATATGATAGATTTTGTAAATTATTCTGTCTAAATTGTTGAGGGCAAATGTTACTAAGGCAATCCCATACCGAGTTCACTGTGCAGAATGTTACTACATCTCCGAAATCACGAATTAAACTGGCCAAGCGCCACAATGCCTCTCAATATCGTCGCTGCCATTTATTTGCCAGCGGGAATACGTTCCGAATTCCGATTCAATAACATTTCTTCTTCTTCAATAACGTTTGATTTTTTTCTTAAATTTCTTTTTAACGAAGCGGACGTTTATACTTGACATTGCCTCCAATATAGTTTCATGTAAGTACATTTGGAACTGAAGTGATAAGTTATACACACACATATGTAGTCAAAGTATTTAAATTTGTTATCATGCAATAGTCGAAATATAATTGCTTCAGTTAATAAAGTGAAAAAATAAATAATATACAAATATATACAAGAAGACGTTATGCAACCATGAACCAAGACATGCAATCTGATAGGAAGACATTCGACGGAGAAAAAGGTGTTCGACATAGTTTATTAATCTTATGTAGTAATGTAGTTGCTAGATGAAATCATTAATAAAGCGATAAACGTAATCATGGATAAAGCGATAAATGTATCATGCTTGGTTACTTACAAGGTAAATATTTTCAGATCAATTAATTACCCATTTGACATCAAACAGAATAGATTGCTCAATGGAAAGAAATGAACACAAGGCTTTGAACCCCTACGCAAAAAGGATTGCAATTTTCTTTTAATTTAATGGAAAAATAAATTCAGTTAAATTAACGTATATCCAGTTTACTGATAACAACGCTGAAAGTTTGGTTAACCTGATTAAAAGTAATATTGGTGTGCTGTTTTTTAGGATTCCGTACCTAAGAAGGTGAAAAAGGAACCCTTCAAAGATGACTCTCTTGTCCGTGTGTCACCACCGAGTTTCTCAGGAACGGGTGGACCTAGCAAGTTGAAATTCATGCCAGATACTGAGATCTATAGTCCCATTTTGGTGAGGATCAAGGTCCTGAAAAACACGATAAAAAGATATGGGCAAATTTAGATTTTCGCGAAAATTTGTAAGTACCAAAATATCAGTCGAACCTATAGGGCAGTTCCCGTTGACCTAGAATCACGAAATTTGGCAAAAAGCAAAGTATATGTAAGTATACATACACCTAATAGGGACTGTAATCCTGAGTATATGGTATTAATTTAAACTTTCTAGATCCATCTGTTCCTGAGAAAATTGGTGGTGATTATTTACCAATTTTATTATGGCGTTATAATGAGTAGGTACGGAACCCTCGGCGTACAGTTCGACCTGAATATAGTACAGCGTGTCGTTCTGAAAATTCTTTTTAAAAAAATTTAATAACTCTAATTAAAAAAATATTGATAATTTAAAGAATTTGTAAATATTTAATACAGTTTTAAAAAAATATGCTTTGTGACCTTTTGAACTTTACGTTATAGTTTTTTACGTAAGGGTGTTCTAAAATTCTTTTTGAAAATTTAATAACTCTGTAAATATTGATGTTTAAAGAATGTAAATATTTAATACAGTTTTAAAAAATAATTCCCTTATATTTTGATTTTACTACTGTCATTGAGTAATTTTCATTCATGTCACAAAGCTAATTTTTATTGCGGTTTCGTTTTTTTTAAATATGGGCTAAGTAAAACAGTGCTAAGCTTTTTATATAGGCACTGTGTTGCAATTTAGAAATGAAACAACATCTGTGTCATTATGAATGTACTTGTTTCTATTACTTGAATGCGCGTGCAACATATGTAATGCTCCGAAGTAAACTATTTTTTATTTGAAGAAAGAAATTATTGTATTTTACAGTATGACAACTGTGTAATCAAAGCTGGTTAAACTCATTTTATTCCCATGTTGTTTTGGAGAAGCATAATTATAGGGTGACTGTCGTAAAGATAACACCATCAGAACAGAATTTAAAAACAAACCCACCTTGGCCCAGTCGCTCCAATTACAATAATATTCGAATTTGAAGTATTTTATTATATTATTAGTTTCAAAATTGAAGGTCTAATGGGTTTTCGTGTGAACATTTTTAAATTGAACACACTACAATTCATTCCTTTGACATAATTGCCCTATTTGTTCCTTTGAAGTAGTTACTTTGTTGACGCTTTGAAGGTAAATTAAGATAAGTTTTTAAGATTCTGTTTTTAAAAAAACACTTTTTTATTCAAATCAAATCAAATCAAAAATATATTTATTCACATAGACGCTTGCGCGTTCTTATGAAATGTCAAAAATTTTACATAAAAATTAATACGTTCGTAAGTTACCACCCGGTTCGGAAAGCAGTTTCTGTTGAGAAGAAACCGGCAGTAAACTCAACAGTTGCTCTTTTTTAAAACGATTAGTTTACAATAGAACAAGTATGTCATTTTAGCCTACGTGAGTATCAACGGCATTAACCCCACACATTGGCGTCGTCAAGATATTCTGCAATGGTATAATATGCCTTAGCCATAAGTTCGCTTTTAATTTTGCGTTTAAATTCATCTAGTGGCAGACTTAATACCGATTGTGGGATTTTATTATACATGCGCACACTTTGCCCCATGAACGATCTATTTACTTTTTTTAGACGAAACAATGGTGTAATTAATTTGTCCTTATTTCTAGTATTTAATTTATGTCTGTCACTATTCTTTAGATAACAATTAAGATTATGTCTAACGTACAAGATATTACAATAAATATATTGGGACGCAACAGTGAATATATTAATCTCTTTAAAAATATCTCTGAGTGTATCCCGGGCTCCAATGTTATAGATTGCTCGGACAGCTCTTTTTTGAAGAATAAATATAGA